AAAAAAAAAAAAAAGAACAATAACAAAGTAAAAAATAAAATTAGACTAGGAAACTAACAGATATGTTAGAAAGAATATAAAAATAAAAATATGGATGAAACAACAACCGGAAGGTAAAACAGAACCACAATAGTAAAAAAGAGGAGGAGAAAGAAAAAGAAAAAGGTGGAAAAGGCCTTGGCTGTGGAGGGTGGGGCCTAAGCAGGGGTGGGGTTTGGGTGGTGGGCAGGGCCTATGCCTAGGACCCACAGGGCTGGAAAAAGCCCTGGGGGTGTAGGGGGTGGGGCTTAGGCTCAACAGAACAGAAGGGGCCCAGGTGTGCTTCCTGCCTCTGGTCTCAGAGGGTGGGGCACCCCACCTGGGAGCCCAGCAGGGCTCGAGTGGGTGGGGCAAACGCCCTCTGCTGCTGTCCTCCAGTCCCCAAGGGCCTCTCCCGCCTGCCTCTCCTTTTCTCCCCTGGCATCCTTCCTACACCCCCAGGACCAACGGGGCCTGGAGGGGGGCCTCTGAGGGCGTAGGACCCGGCCTGAGAGCAAGGCAGACTTCCCTGGCCGATTGGGCAGGGGAAACGCTTGGTGCATTCCACCCCCATCCGAGCCCCTGAGGGTCCCTCCAGGCGTGGGAACCCCTCCCCCCTCTCAGCCACCCGTCAGGGGCGCTGGTCTTGTCTGGCCTCCACTTCTCCCCCCTCAGTCCCCCCCCACATCTTACCGGTTCGCTTGAGCATTCCTCCCGTCTCCTGGGGTGTTGAGGTCCCCCACCAGCGTCCAGCAGGTTCCCTAGTTGTGGGGAGACGCAAACTCTGCGTCTTCCCGCACCGCCATCTTGACTCCACCAGCCCCTTATTTTATACATAGTAGCTTGTACCTCTTAGTAGCTTGTAACCCTATCTTGCCCCTCCCCCTTCCCTCTCCCACTTGGTAACCACGAGTTTCTTCTCTGTATCTGTGGGTCTGTTTCTTTTTTGTCATATTCACTAGTTTGTTTTATTTTTTAGATTCCACATATAAGTGATACCATGCAGTACTTGTCTTTCTTTGACTTATTTCAACAATACATAATTTCAAAGATGTCTTTAAACAGAGGCACATAGAAAATGAGGTTATGTATTGACTGATGGACAAAAATATTGTGACCAGAGGCTCATAGGAGCCTAGCTAGCCCTGTACCTCCCCCAGGAGCAGTGGTTTAAAAATCACTAATTCAGTATACACAGCAACATTCCAGAACATAACTATTGCACATAGTGAGAACACACTGTATGCTCTAGAATTCAGGGGTTGCAAACTATAGCCCGTGTGCCGGCCACCTGTTTTTGTAAATAAAGTTTTATTTAAACACAAGATCTACCCATCTGTTTACGTATTGTCTGTGGCTGCTTTGGCACTGTAGTGGCGGAGTTGGGTAGTTGTGACAGACTGTATGGTCCACAAAGCGTGTCATATTTAACAGCTGGGCCTTAGAAAAGCCCCTGCTAGATGCCTGGCTTCCAAGGCCTGCTCTGCAGTGGATGGACTGTGACACGGTAGCCAGGCTAACAAATCTTGCCGCGTGTCCGTTTCCTTAGATGTAAAGTAGGACTATTATCATCGTGCACCTCGAAGAGTCCTTGTGAGAAACAAATGGGGTGAATATGCTTGAAAAGTGCTTATTTGGACAGTGCCTGGCACAGAATGAAAGCACAGTGGCTTTGTGCTCTTATTTTTATTATGTGGGTCACAGCCATCCTGTGGGAAGTGCGAGGGGATGGTTGGCGTACAGGCCCTCCGGATTCCCACAGAGTCATAGCAAACAGGATCTAATTCGGCTCTGGCTCTGGGGGCAGGGGAGGGGTGGGGTCCCGGGCCGGCGGCCATGGTCTTCACGAGGCTGCAGGAAGCCACTGTTTGTTGTTCCACCAGCTCCGGAGAGCAAGGCCTCCTTCATCCTGTCTTTCCTTCCAGGTGACCAACCGCGGCGAGGCCCACCTCGAGCTGAACGCTTTCCGCAGGAAGCACGACTGTGCCCTAGTCATCTCCGGAGACTCCCTGGAGGTGGGCACGGGCAACCCCGCCAGCAGGCTCCTCCCGGGAGCTGCCGTGTGGGAGGGGCCGTGGCCGACGCACCACCTCTCCCTGACCCCGGCAGGTTTGCCTCAAGTACTACGAGTATGAGTTCATGGAGCTGGCCTGCCAGTGCCCGGCCGTGGTCTGCTGCCGCTGCGCGCCCACCCAGAAGGCCCAGATCGTACGCCTGCTCCAGGAGCGCACGGGGAAGCTCACGTGTGCAGTAGGTAGGGGCTGCCGCGCCTGCGCAGACGACCTTCCCCAGGCGTGCTTGGGTCTTGCTGCCCTGGTGTTCAGGTTCCCAGGCCACTTTATTCCGGCGGTGACATTGACACCCCCTCCCCCTTTGGCCCTATTTTTGTTATTATTATTATTTTTTAAGTATTTTGCTTTGAGAAAGAGTCGAGAAGCATGCTGAGGGCTTTCCTCCGTAGCTTGCCCTTCCTTTGCCAGTGACATGGGACACAGCAATGCCTGGGGGCTAAGACCACACTGCGGAGAGGAATCTGGGTCCAAACTGCTGGTTTTGCCTAGCTGAGGGTCCCGGAGGGCTTCCTTCCCCCAGCTGAGCCTGTCTGCTCATTGGTAGAAAGGGAGAGTAACAGTGGTTCTCTCAAATGGTGCTTAGGAGGATTCAGAGGGGCAGTAGCATTTAAGAAGTGCTTGCTGCACTCACAGTAAGCGTTGCCTACGTGCAACGTCCGTCATTGCTGATAATGACGAGACACCCACACCTTGGAGGCGGGGCGTGCGGTGTTGTTAGTGCCCACGTGGCATGGACACAGTTCCCTTGCTCAGTGACTCAATGGCCAGGACCCTCAGCCAGTCACCTGGTTCCTCTGACTCTCAGCTCCTCTGCCTGTAAAATAAGAGCCTGTTACTGCAGGTTGCTGGAGCGATTAAGGGGAGCAGAGCAGAAAAGACACTTAGCATGCAGTGAAAGGCAGCGCGTGTATGATTAAAGTAGCAGCGAAAAGCACGGTTATGTTTCTTGCGTCTCCCTAATCTCCTGGCTCTTCTCTCTGGTCTGGGTGACCCGCAGGTGATGGAGGCAATGACGTCAGTATGATCCAGGAATCTGACTGCGGTGTGGGTGTCGAGGGAAAGGTGAGCCCGTGGGGTGGGGGGCGTGTGTGCTGACGAGTGGTTGTCGTTAGGATGTGAAGTGGTTGTGTCGTTAGCTGGGAGTTGCTCCACCAGCTGGAGTTTCATTTTCCCTCCAAGACACAGCTTTAATGCTTCTGGAAATTCTAGATTACAATTACAGAGCATTAGGAATCATGTATCATAATTACCTGGTATTACAATCCGCTAGTCACAGATCCCTATCACTGTTATCTTACAGACAAATGCTGAGGCTTTGCTTGGCAAAACCTCATTTTTTAAAGTGTTTTGCTACATTCTTAGGGTGCAGCGAATGTACTTCAAACGCTTTCCTGGGAGTGTTGTCGGTAAAAGCATTAGTTATCACACTGTGGGGTGATCTCTTGGGGATTATGGAAGAATGTGGCGTGGTTTGCCCCTCATTAAATATATTTATTTTTTAAATTTATTTATTTTTGGCTGTGTTGGTTCTTCCTTGCTGCACACGGGCCCTCTCCAGCTGCGGTGAGCAGGGGCTACTCTTCGTTGCGGTGCACGAGCTTCCCACCACGGTAGCCTTTCCTGTTGCGGAGCACGGGCTCTAGGCACGCGGGCCTCAGTAGCTGTAGCATGCGGGCTCAGCAGTTGTGGCTTGCGGACTGTAGCGCGCAGGCTCAGTAGCTGCGGCACACGGGCTTTGTTGCTCCGTGGCATGTGGGGTCCTCCCAGACCAGGGATCGAACTCGCGTCCCCTGCATTGGCAGGCGGACTCCCAACCACTGTGCCACCAGGGAAGTCCTGCCCTTCATTAAAAGGCTAAGTTTGTGTGTTACAGTACAGTAGTTTTCCTCTTTCCTTCCCTGTCAACTGTGTGCCAGCCGTGTATAGTTTACCCTGCCCTCTCTCGTTTGTGATCTTGCGGTGACTGTAGGCAAGGAGGCTGGTCACCACGTTTGTTAGCACAGTGTGTAAAGTAGGAGCACAGAGGCCGAGAGTGAGGGCTGGAGATGCTCCCTTATGTGTTTCCTTCCATACATTCCTGCATTTGGAATTTCCAAAAATGTTTTTTCTTTTCCACCTTTTTTTTTTCCCCCTGGTTCTCTGGTTCTCATCCAGTTGACAGTTACTTGAAATTGCAGAGTTAAGTGATCCTTGAAGGAGTTGTTATGTCTGAAATCTGTATGGATTCCTTTAATGCAGGTTTTAAGAAGCACACTCGAGTTTAGTAGACGGAATTCTTTACACGGTGCTGATAGTACTAGAACATTTTCCCTCTGTTCAGAATTATATTCTGATTCCTTTGGTTTTTGGAGTCTAAAAGTAGCAAGTGCTCACTGTAAAAAAAAAAACCTGAAACAATTTAGAAATGGATAAAGTGCATCCTTTCTTTTAGATGGCGGTAGAAAACTAGTAACATTGGTTATTCTTCCAGAATTTTTGTCTATTTCTATACTAATAGTTATGGGTATATATATAATATATACACACATAAATATGCATACACACATCTTACACACATATATACAGTATTTCCAGATAGAATGTAAAATTTAAACGTTATACTATGCTTTTTTTTAAATGCGGCTTGCCTAAATCTGTTATATCTTAGATTTCTTTATACATCAAAACATGTAGATCCACCATTATTGTACATTGCCTCGACCTTTTTTATTTTGAAAAATGTAACTCCTTCTGAAAAGTTGAAATAGAATAGTGAGCACCTGTCTATGCTTTGCTGTAATTTCCCAGTTGTAAACAGTTGCAGGATTCTCCCTCTGCTCTTCCTTCCCCTCTCTCCCGCTTTCTCAGAATCAGCTGAAAGTAAGTTACGGATATGTTACCCCTAAATAGTTCAGCTTGGATCTCTTAAGAACAGGTGTATTCTTCTGCCTAAGCAAAAATACACCCCAAGTGTAACATTGATATGATAATGTTATGTAATATTCATGGTCTCATTTCCCTAGTTGTCCTCAAGGTGTTTAAAAAGAAATCTCCATGAAGCAGTGAAGGATCGCGCACTGCATTTATTCCCGTGTCTTCATGTCTCTTCACTCTTCTTTAATGGAGAACACTTCTCTCCAGCTCTTTTGTGGGGGGGAGGCGGTGTGTCTCACGACTTTGATGTTTTGGAAGCATTTGGGGCAGCTGTGGACCCTCCCACGACGACTGTGGGTCGGATGGATCTGATTCAGGTTCTGCGTTTTTGGTGTGAGGAGCACATAAGGGGAGTTGGTGCCTTCGTGTTGCGTCACAGCAGGAGGCTGTGATGTCCATCTGTCCCATTAGTGGCATCTGTCATGTGGCTTTTAAAATTAGAGAATCCCATAATATGGCCGCACCATAAATTATTTCCAGTTCTGTCAACATGCAGAGCTGTGTGTTTGGGAGTATGTTCAGTTTAGTATTGGTAGCATGAGCTGTGCCCCCTCCCCCATACGTTTAACTCTGAACTGAGCTGAGTGCTAAATGCCTATCTTAGAATGATTCTTTGCTTCTGATACACATTATGGGTTGGGCCTAACCCCCAAGGCTTAATACTAGATCCGTTTGACCTCCCAGTTATGAGTATCTGCGCTTGTGAATGTTTTTTATTTCAATAAATTCCTCTTTTAAAATCAAATTTAGACTCAGACCACCAACCGTGTATAGCTGGAAACCAAAGAACCTCTATATTGAAGTTCTTCCAAAATCTCCTTACAGTTTCTTGCTTTTTCAATTCAAAAAAAAAAAAAAAAGTGCCTTGACCTCTCGTGCTCCTGACGGTGCCCAATTTTGTCGGATTTTAGGAAGGAAAACAGGCTTCGCTGGCTGCGGACTTCTCTATCACTCAGTTCAAGCACCTTGGCCGCTTACTCATGGTGCATGGCCGGAATAGCTACAAGCGCTCGGCTGCCCTCAGCCAGTTTGTGATCCACAGGAGCCTCTGCATCAGCACCATGCAGGTGGGTGGGCAGGTGCGCATGGCTGTGTGGTTGCCATGGACTTGAGAATTAGTCTCCACTTTGGAGCTGTTTCAATGCCCCTCCCCCAACCGCCCCCCCTCCGCCACATTCTGGGCGATAGAGCTTGGTTGGAGTGGCCGCCCCGAAGCCTTCCTGTGTTGGGGGCCAAGGCTGTGCTTGCTGTGCGGAGCCGATGTGAGCATTAGCGGTGGTGCCTTGCCAGGGCTTGGCACGAAGTGGGCGGTAGTGTAAATGACCCGGGTGCTCATATTGGGGTGAGTTGTTATCCTCAGTTTGCCAGAGGCAAAGATGCAGAGTTAAATGCTGAGTGAATACTCCGGCCCTAAGTTTTCCACGTGCAGAAGCAAGGACCTACAGAGAGCAGCCACAAAAGAATGACTTTCTTTTCTTGAGTGCTTCCTGTACCCTGGGCGTCAGGCTAAGTGTTCACAATGCGGGCCCACCTGTAGTCCTCGCTGTAGCCTGTGCCCATTCTGCAGGTGGGGAGGCTGAGGCCCAGTGTGGGCAAGAAATCGGTGCAGTGTCTCTCAGGGATTTAGTCTACCCAGGCAGGGGATTCCGGTACCTGTGCTCTTAATGCAGGTGTGCCCCTCTGCCCTCCATCCACAGGGCCAGCTGCTGCTTCCACATGCAGGGGGGCGCTTAGCGAGGGCGGCGCAGCCCAGGGCATCTCGCTTCTGCCTCTAGTGCAGCCTGGCTGGGAATCCAGCGTAGTTAATCCCAATCGTCAGTCCTCTCAGGGAGTTACATCTTGCTTTTTCACAAAAGGATTCTATAATGTGTAAGGTGTTTTCCCGTCTTCTCTCTCCCCAGCTCCTTCAAAGTCTGTCATCAGGCTGTGGCAATGAAGTTGTATTAGGAAGGAGGCCAAAGGGAGGGAAAGGACACCTTTTGGGTGTTGAAAAACTATTGGCTGACTTTCCTCCTTGGGCGTTTAGGTGAAAAATACCCCCAGTTAAGTGGTGAGAACCATAGGCCCGGGACATCTTGGAACCCATATCATCAGGCGTCTCTGAGACCTTGAACAAGTCACGTTACCACTCTGGGCTTCAGTCTTTCCACCTGTAAAGTGGGCATCAGACTTCTCTATCACTCCATCCAAGCATCTTGGCCCTTGCCCCTCAGACAGGGCTACTTTGAAAAGCAGAGAGTTTTATAAGGCACCAAGTGCTGAAGGCGTCCTTGCCATTATTAATAAAAACAAAACAGGCTAATGTATAAACCTAAGGTGATGTTTTAATTTGTGGGAAAGGTGTTTAATCATACATGAGAGACACCCTGCCTTAAAGGGTCGAGTGGTGCTGCCTGGTGTACATGAGAATTCACCCTCCACTGGCTCATCCATGCCTTTGGTGGGGTGGGGGGGTTTATGTTTTCAGTATGGATTGCATTTATGAGTGAAGGAGCCTTACCGTGATTTTCATCAACACAGTCTAAACGCCAGCAGCTCCTACGGTTCATCAGACCACATCTGTACTTTTATTTTATGTTAGCTCATCAACTGAACTGGATAATGTCATGGTTTAATCACCGGGAGATTAATCAGCTTGTCCCTGGGCAAACACACAAAAGCTGGCCTGGATGAGCTGGCTTCTGTAATGCCTGTATGTTACCGTGAACATCGATTCAGAAAAAAAAATTCTAGCATGAGGAATTGTTCTTTGTGCTGTAGGAAAAAAAAAGAAAAAAAGCCAAGAAAAACGCCCTTAACCCTGTCCACTGTGCTGAAAGTGACTGGCTGAGAGCAAGTCCGGTTCGCATTGCACCTTGACAGTGGGCTCTTGATAGACGAAGACACCGCATTTTTATTTTCCACAGTGTGCTCTTTCCAGGGTGAAGGCTTTATGGTCAGTCTGTCCCTTTTAGAGAAAGAGGCTCCTGGTGTTGCTCTGTAAAACTGAACACCAGATTCTTGACATCTTTATTACCATCCTTCCTGTGCAGTGGCCCAGCCTGGGTGAGAAGTCATTTGAAAAACGGATTTCACCTTTCAGTTCTGAAATCACGACCGGGTGTGGCCGGGGCTGCCCGTGACCATGGCTCTAGGTGCCACCTGTGTTCTGAGCTCTGTGCCAAGCGAACACCCACAGCGGGTGATAAGGGGAAAGAGTCTCTGTCCCATGCTCTTTTTAACCACTAGCCTGGCCCAGCCTTTTCCTCCACGTTCGGTTTTTAAAAAGCCTTTAGACAACAGTTGTCCCTGGCCTTCTGTAGGTTTTATACTGATAGAAATTAGCTTTGAGGTCACTTTGCTTCTGTTGGCCGGTAGATGTTCAGAGAAGGAAGTAACAGAGCATCAAGCCTGATTTTATCTCCCTAGCCTACTTTTCACTGCCAGTAGCTAGTGTTTTCCAAATACGGAAGCAAACATTTCAGTAGGGGTTCGTAAATATCTTTATTGCTTTTGTCTAATTGCAAAAGTAGCAGGTTGTGGGCTCTTTGTAAAAATTTCCAAGAAGAGTGAAACATGTCATATGAGAAGTGAAGCCTTCTCTGCGGTCCTACCCTCCAGGGTAACTGGTGCACATCCTCACAGTGGAGGATATTCCCCCTACCTGTTTCCAATACGTACATCAACTCGTTTATCGATTGTACACCCAGTGAGGTGGTAATTCTGAGCTGTCAGGAGTGTGGGCTCTGGAGACAGAACTGGGCTTGAGTCCCGCAGGGCCATTTATGTGCTCAGTTTCCCCTTCCGTAAAACGTAAGGGATATTAGGACTTGATCTCATGCGTTCTTCTGGAGATTCACTGAGATCAGATACAAAGTATTTCCAGGTCCAACTTGTTTAACTTAATAAATGTTCACAAAGGAGCTGAGAGTGGACCCTGGAGCTAAACTCACCGTATGACTCCTGGCTCTGTCCCTTATGAGCTGTGCTATCTTGGGCAAGTCACTTAACCTCTCGGTGCCTTACTCCCCTCATCTGTAAAATGGGGATGATGATAACAGTCCCTCCTTCACAGGGTTGCTGTAGTAATTAAATGAGCTAATATACTTAAAGCACCGTAACTGTGCGGGTGTAAAATAAGTGCTCTGTAAGTGTTGGCTGTTATTTTTCTGATACAAACACAAGGGCTTTGGTCATGGTTTTTGGTAACATCCTCCTTTTTCCTCGGCACAGGCTGTCTTTTCCTCCGTGTTTTACTTTGCCTCCGTTCCTCTCTATCAAGGATTCCTCATCATTGGGTAAGGAAGTCCAGGCAAGGTATTAATTTTTAATGAAACCTCCCTAAAATGCCACAGAAGGAGGAGGAAGCATCATGTGAAGACCCTTCAGTCCCCAAGGCAGGTCTGGCAGTCTGGTTTAGAACCTTCTTGAATGAATACGTTTTTGAACTGGTAAGCCCTTAACCAAATTGCGGATGCAGAGTCCGATCTGTTTGTGGTCCATTCATACCTGATGGTTGAAGAATGCTCGCCCACGAGAACCTGAGGTTGTCAGCTGATTGATACACCAGGCAAGAGTGAAGCTTCACAGACTGTGATTTCTTAGGAAATCACTGACGGGTCTTAGAAAAAGTGGAAGGGGCATCTGGAAAGTACCCTCTCTGCCATGGCTGCCCATAGTGGACCATCCTGCTGGTGGGTCTCTAAGGCGGCCAGAGCCTTGCTCTCTCCGGGTTACCCCTGATAGAGCTTGGCCACTGCGTGCCACTGACTTGTGAGGCACGCTGTCCCTTGGACAGTTGCTACGTTTGCTATCAAACCCACCCCCCCATTCCTGACCTGGAATTTAGGACGTTCCTTTTGACCTTTTGAGAGGATGTGCTCAGTCTCTGAATTCCCCAGGTAGGTGGAGTTTGGTTACCACATGCCCTAGATATAGAGATGCTGGCAGGGCGCTCCCCTGGTTACCAAGGTGGGAAGCACAGAGAGGCCGGCTGGTCCCAGTGGAGTCTTAAAAGTATGCTTTCCATCTTCTTATGTTCAGCCTGAGAGTAGGCACTGGAATTCTGCTTGCTTCTAATTGGAAAAATGGCCTGTCCTTTGTCAGGTCCTGGAAGAGTGGCAGAACATGCCTGAATAGAACCAGGGGTTCCCTGAGCCGTGCTCCATGTGGCCCCCCCATGATCTGGTTCTCGCTGTTCTTCAAACAGGACAGACATGCCTCCACCTCAGGGCCTTTGCACTTGCTGTTCTCTCTGCCTAGGATGCTCTTCCCTCGCATATTGGCATGGCCTCCCTCTTGCCTCTTGTGGGTGTTTTCTCAAATGCCCCGTCTCCTGTCCACCCTCTCTAAAATTGCACCGCCCCGCCCCATGTCTCATTCCCTCTTCCCCGTTGTATTTCCCTCCTCAGCACTTTACCTCCAGCACACGGTATAGTTTACTCAGCACTTTACCTCCAGCACATGGTATAGTTTACTGAATTTGTTTTTTGACTCACCGACCAGCACGGAAGCTCTCCAAGGGCAGGCGTTGTGGTCTGCTTTTCATCTTGAATGTCCAGTGCTTCGAACTGGCCCTGGCACACATACCAGGTGCTCAGTACATAGTAGTTGAATGAAGGAATGGAAATTGGGCTCCAGAGGCTGGGGCAGCACGTGGCTCGTACTCCACTGGCTGGATATTACCTGCGGTGATTTTTTTTCTCCCAGGTACTCCACCATCTATACCATGTTTCCTGTGTTTTCTCTGGTCCTGGACAAAGATGTGAAGTCAGAAGTTGCCATGCTGTACCCTGAGCTCTACAAGGATCTCCTCAAGGTTCCCGGAGCCCCCTCCTCCTTCCTCCCTTCTTCCCTCTCTCCCTCCCTCTTTTAACATATTTCACACAGACCCTCCATGTCTGATGTGAACGCACTTGAACTGGTGGCTTTCTTTTGAGAGGAAGGTGTGGGAGTATATGTCTTTCCTTAAAGTACGATACGCACATGTAAAGAATACTAAACTGTACAGTGATATGGCAACTTTTAAAACAAACCTTCTAATGCCTTTTTAAAAAGCCCCTGACAGTTCCATTTTGTAGCTGCAACTTGTGTCTGTTCCTGGAAATGCTTTTGTGTACAATCCTGAAAAATATGTGTGTGTGATTGCATTTGTTGGTCCTCAAGGGGTTTTTGATAAAGAGCAGATTTATTGGGTTGGCCCAAAAGTTCATTTGGGTTATTCCGTAACATCTTACGGGAAAACCCTAACGAACTTTTGGGCCAACCCAATACTTCCATCTGATATCAATTCTCTTTAAAAAACGTCGTTTCTTTAATGTATTTTGATGTGTGTGAGCCACTGTTTTGACAAAAACGGCAGGTTGCCTTGTCTGGTTGGTGGAGGGTAGCCTGACAGTGGCTCGCGCCCTGGATGAGCCCCGCACGCTAGCCCGTTCTGTCTTCCTCTCTCTCATTCAGGGACGGCCGTTGTCCTACAAGACGTTCTTGATATGGGTTTTGATCAGCATCTATCAAGGTAAGGACGGGTGAAAACACCTGTTGTCTTATGCTCTGGCCTTGGCCCCAGGGTCAACTTCACCATTCTATTGTCTGTAGAACACAAAGAGAAGCAGCTGGAATGCCAAGATTGCAGTAAGGAGTGTGGCACTGTGTCCGAGGGAGCCCCCTCCTCGGGTTCTAAGGCCTTGCTCATCAGGCACAGAGTCACACATGTGAGGTGGTGCTGTCCGCTTAACTGAGACAAAGTCAGAGAAAAGTACAACTAATACTAATCAAACCCTGCTGTGGTGTTCAAGTCATTGTAACAAAAAGTGGTCGCTTTCTGGAATGTTCTGACACTTTTTCTGAAGTCAAGTTGTAGTTCTTGAACAACACATTTACTTCTGTGGCCTCCAGAGAGGGTCCCTCAGACTGTACGGGCTTTGTGAGATGACTTACTCGAATATGAAAAGGAAATGTCAGAACCTCTCTTTGTATTTATTTTTTCCTCTTTTTAGAACTTCCGTTGTCACGTATGTTTTATAATGTACCTGACACGTTTGCACAGTGGTCCTGCTACCTCTCTCTGTCTGTCTGCACAGGTACACATGGATAATTTACAAATCCACATCGTCCATTAGGGATTCATTCTTAGTGTTTTTTTCTGATGGGATGTGTGGTCAAAAAGTGTAGACTGTTGAATTTGTTAGGAGGCTAAATTATCATTTTAACAATTTGAGGGTTGCTTTTTTTTTTTTTTTTTTTTTGAGAAGTGTAGCAAAGTGACATGTACGTAGCTGGTTGAAGAAAGCAAATCCTGCATGGAAGTTCATGATAACAAGCAGTGGCGCTTCATTGCATCCCCAGCACTGTTGTAACAGGCAGTCATTTGAAGAGTTTGGGGGTTTAGGGTCTCCTGCTCTTGAGCAGGAATCTCACGTAGCTAGTGTTTCTGATCAACGTGAGACATTCCCCATTGAGTTTCTGCAGTTCTGGATGAAAATGCACTTATCTGGACCCTCCCCCACTTTCCTTTCTCTCCTCAGTGCAGGTGCGTAATTCTTTGAGGGTCTCTCTTGGTTGTCCCTATCATTTTTTTGTGTTTGGGGGCAGGGAGGGGGCTAAAGGAGACAAAGCATAGCATTTACCATCTAACTCTTCTTAAGTGCGCAGTTCAGTAGTGTCCCGTAATGTTCACGTTGCTGTGAAACAGATCTCCAGAACTTTTTCATCTTGCAAAACTGAAACTCTGTATCCATTCAACAACAAACGCCTCTTTCCTTCCTGCCCACAGTTCCTGGTAATCACCATTCTACTTTGTCACTATGAGTGTGACTACTTAGATCCCTCATATACGTGGGATTGTACAGTATCTGTTCCTCTGTGGCTGACTACATCTGTCACTTAAAATAATACACAAAAACTTCTATTTCTTGTTCCACCCAATCCAGATAGTTGCTCTCTCTGCCTCTTATCCTTTTTTTCCTCTCTATCTCTTCCTCTCCCTCTCTATCCTATTATAAACTGTCTATTAATAAAGACACAGACATAGAGAATGGACTTGAGGACACGGGGAGGGGGAAGGGGAAGCTGGGACGAAGTGAGAGTGTGGCACAGACATATATACACTACCAAACGGAAAATAGATAGCTAGTGGGAAGCAGCCGCATAGCACAGGGAGATCAGCTCGGTGCTTTGTGACCACCTAGAGGGGTGGGAATAGGGAGGGTGAGAGGGAGACGCAAGAGGGAGGGGATATGGGGATATATGTATATGTATAGCTGATTCAGCAGAAACTAACACACCATTTGTAAAGCAGTTATACTCCAATAAAGATGTTAAGAAAAAAAATAAAATAAACATAAACTCTCTTATATACAGCCAAAAGGGAACATAGGAAAACTAGAATGTGATGCCTCCCTTTCAAACCTCCATAAAGTACCACTCATTAACCTCCTTTAACAAATGGTACCTTTCATGTCTGAATGGGAAAAACAAAAGGAGTCAGATGTGAGTGAGCAGGGTGAGCCTTCGGTGGGGAAGGAGGGGGAGGCATCGGCTCCCAGCAGGGAGGGCTGCATGGGCAGCAGAAGCCCCTCCCCACCCAGACTCCCCTCCGCCTTTGCAGGAAGCACCATCATGTACGGGGCACTGCTGCTGTTTGAGTCGGAATTCGTGCACATTGTGGCGATTTCCTTCACATCGCTGATCCTCACGGAGCTGCTAATGGTGGCCCTGACCATCCAGACCTGGCACTGGCTCATGACGGTGGCCGAGCTGCTCAGCCTGGCCTGCTACATCGCCTCCCTGGTGTTCCTCCACGAATTTATCGGTGAGACCCCCCTGCACTTAGGGCCCACCCATCAGGTCCAAGGGTCTTACCAGCAGGCCTTGGTACTCAGCTGCCCGCCCTTTGCTCACTGGCGTCCCTTGGGACAAGTGGCAGTTGAGAATCAGCCTCTTGGAACTGAGGCTGGCGGGCATGATCTTAACGTAGAATGTTTTCTTTAAAACCACGCCGTGCCTGCTGGCTTAGAAGGGGATTCGTTCAGTCGTGCAAGGACCTAGTGGACTTCTCCGGGGAGCTGGTCACTGTGCTGGGCTCCGTGGAGCTATGGAGATGGTGAGAATCCGGAGAGTAAATGACAGTCCAGCAGGACTTACCAGTGTTATTAGCTTGAGAAACTCTGCCTTGTCCTGAAAGCATCTTCTATAACGCCTCTTCTTTATCAGTAAACGCTCTTTAAGAAGGTTTTGATAAAGGAAAAAGGAGCATTCCCTTGAAAAGTGAAGTCTTAGAATAGTTTCACACTTGTTTGAAAAGTCTCTCTGAATAGGTTTTGTGAGCACCTACTGTGCGCTCAGTGGCTTGAGGCCAGGGAGTCACAGAGGCTTAGAAGATGCAAGCTCTGCCCTCACGAAGCTTTGGTCGTCACCTTAGATGTGGACCAGTCATAGGACTGGGCCCATGGTTAGGGCCCTGGGCTTGGCACTTAGTAGGTGCTTACTCAGTGCCCGCTGCATTTCCCCCAGCCTGTGCTCAAGAGGCAGGGAAGACTGCTGCCAGGCATCCACTCCCAGTACTGTTGAAAATCACTAGCTTCGCTCCTCTGTTGCAAAAACCTCGGAACTGCAGGCCTGACTGTGTGGTGGCAGGAAGGGGAGCTCCCCGCCCCTCCAGGTCACACTGTTCCTGACGAGGGGTCTCCACCCCCCTTTGCACCACCCTCAGACTCGGCTCTGGCTTCTGTGACCATTGCTGAGGCGAAGGGGAAAAGTTGCTGAGAAGAACTGTGTGTTTGAGCGTCACTTTCTGCCGGGTTTAGAAAGGAAAACTCCAGCTGTCAGATTCCAAATCAAAAACACTTGGAAGGGGGATTTTTTTGCCCAGGCTTTTCTTTTCCGAGTTGTTGAAAACAGCATTTCACGGAAGGTCCGGAAGCTCCAGAAGCAGGTCAGTGAGAGGAGGAGAGAGACAGGGAAGGGAAGTCAGGCTGGCAGCCTGGGCGCTATCAGCACATCCCCTGCGGGAGAGAAGCCCGCGTCCCCTCCGATGGCCCTGCCGCCCCGCCGGCTCTGGGCGGCACGTTCCCGCCCGCTCACTGCTGTCTTCTGTTTGCTTGCAGACGTGTACTTCATTGCCACATTGTCCTTCTTGTGGAAAGTGTCTGTCATCACTCTGGTCAGCTGTCTGCCCCTCTATGTCCTCAAGTACCTGCGAAGGCGGTTCTCCCCTCCCAGCTACTCGAAGCTCACGTCCTAGGCCGTGCACTCGGGAGAGGACCCCGGTCTCCACACTCGCCTGGCAGACAGAGTTCAAGTTGCATTTCTATTAACCACCACCCGTGGATTGTGCAGTGGTGGCTCCCACGTGCGGTTCTGATATGAAGAGACTCTGCGCTTCCACGGAGCCCGACGCCGAATAAACAGGAGGGAGGCGCCTAAGAGGGCCCCACACGGGGGTCTGAGCCCCTGGTGATTCACAGTTGAGTGAATGTGACTATGTGAAAACCGGTGACTCAGCCGAGAGATTTATTCATGGGTCACTGTGCAGGCTTCCTTATGACTTGAATTTTGTTGTCATGTGATAAAAGTTTCTGTCTAGTCGAAGACTGTAGAGGGTTTTTTGGTTGTTGTTTTAAACAGTCCTAATGTGTGTGCACTTTTACGTCGTTCTGCTCTTAAAAAACTGGTTTCAGAGAAAGATAAAGCTCTCAGTATAGGTTTTGGGGGAAAAGACGGTGACACTTGGTAAAAAGTTAACCAGACAATAATCTCAATTTGGAAATGCTAAATATCCTCTCTAAGGCAGCCCTGCTTATCGAAACGGCACTGGATTCCTAGGATTACAGAAAACCACATGAGAAGAGAGCAGAAGAGAGAGAGAACCGTAAATCCGGTACGTTATCCTTCCTCCAATTCAGCATCTGTGGCCTTGGAGTTAACATCACCTGTCACCTCGTAAAAGAATTTCAAAGGTGTTATCTTGCTTTGTTCGGATCTGGTAACAATTACAAAGCCTGTGGCTATATCTGAGGACACTCAGACATTTTCAGCAGAGTTGTTTTAGCAGGAAGCGTGCCACTGAACGGCCCCTAAATGTGTCGACAGTGTGACAAGAGACTCAGCTAATTCTTTAGGCAACGTAGCACATGTGACTCTGAGTCTAAAGTGGAAAGGTCAGGGACTGGGGCTCTTTACGTCCACAGAAATCTGTTTCCTGTTAGGAGGAATTCCTGAGGACACAGTGACAGAGGCAGAGGCTTCTTAGCACGCTGCCATTCATCAGTGGCAGCTTCGAGCGAGGAGCCCCAGTGGAAGGAGGCCCGGGCTGCAGCTCTGGGGTCTGGGCTCCGTTGCGCTGCCTACAGATTTCAGGGAGAACTCGCTGGAAGGCAGCCAGGAGTAGAGATTCCTCTCCCCACCAGGGTGGGGCCCACGCATGTGTGTTTCCTATAAAGCTGTGGCTTCTTGTTTCAGGGGAAGAAGAGAATTTTCCAGCGCTGGATGTGGCCCGGCAAAGCTTTCTTGGGTTTTCAAGTCTCTCCTGGCAGAAGCCACATGTGTGTGCCAGAGGATTAGGTTGGTGGATCTGCAAGAGCTGATCGTGCTCGAGACCTTAGATTTGTGATTAATCCTCCAGCCCTCCAGCCTGGTTCTCCTTCATGTGCTCCAGAGATGGAAGCTATGGCTGCCACTCTAGGGAAAGCCAGCTCTTGGAGAGCTGGAGACACGAGGCCCTTGACTTTGGAGCACTCGATATGCTCGTGTATTTCTGTTGCCTTTTTAAAACTTTATAGGATGACAGTAAGTTGCAGGCACTGCGAAATTGGCTGTGACATCACTTCTGTTTTAGTTTTAAGATTCTGCAGTTTTGCAGGATTTTTCCCGTTCTGTCCCAGCCATTTCTGCCACACAGAAAACATTTATGGGAAGTAAATGTTGTATTGAATGAACGGTTATTCAGGAAGAGGGTCTTTCTCCAAAACTCTGAGAAGGGGCGAGCAGGTCTGACGTCTTTGCTGGGTGATTTTATGTGATTTCAGAGGTGGAGTGAGAGGGCGTTGTGCCCAGCGCTTTTGTACCTGTCTGTCTTCTTGGAAGTCAGCCTGTATAACCGGAAGTCTAAAGGTACTTCTGCTCCCAGCTCTCAAACCCTGAACTTGACCTTGTTCACAGACAGGTGATGGCTCCTACAGGTAGGTCTCATGGAAACTTTTAGATGTTTCCAGCAGTGACAAGGAAGGAAGATAGTCTCTTTGGTCTTTTCCTTAATTCCCAGTTTTGATCGAGGTGCTTGGGTTGACTTTGAAAGTCAACACCTAAACCCTTGCTTGGCATCTGGGAGGGAGAAAGCGTCCCAGAGGAGCAGAGGCTGTGCCTGGAGGTCGCAGGTGCGTTTGTGCCGTCAAGACCCCCTCGTTCTCCCTTTCAACCGTACCCTGGTGGAGGCGGCCAAGGGTGAGAGGGACTGAAATGCAAGTGGGGACCGTGACCGTGTTGGAAAGCCACCCTGCCAGGGGGCAGCCTGCTCCCACCGCCTTCCAGGGTCCGGAGTGTCCAGGAAAACATTCGCATGCTTCTCAAACTCTAGAGACCCACGTGGCGGGAGCCACGAGTCAGCTGAGTGTACACGATCCTGACATGCACACATCAGCCCATAATCCCAACAGAGGATCTGCGTACACAGGCAGTTCCCGTGTTAGCTTAGCTGTGGGGAGAAGACAAAGACACAGACAAGAAATCCAAGCCATTCTAAGGAAACTGCTGAATTCATAAAAAGCATAAGGATTCCATTCACCAGTCTGGAAGGAACTTAGGAAACACCGTTGACACCTTGGAGGTCCCCTCGCCTTGGAACTCAGTGGCCTCAAGTCTCCGGTCCCTGGCACACAATCAGCGCTGTTTAAATACTTCCCTCAAAGTAAAAATTACACGTCCCCCTGCCCTTTGACAACATTAAGTATTTCTGTCAGAGTGACTTAATTTTATTATATGATGATTCTTTTTATTACATTTTTTGGTGATGGTTGTGTGTGTGGGAAAGCGAGGAATCTGTTTGGTGTCTCTTTTTCCCTCTCTTTCTCTAGGAAAATGACCAGACAAGTGTCTCCATCTTGAGTGATTTCTTGCATCTGCCCATTTCAGTGCTAATTTGAGAGCATGCACACGCGTGTGTGTGTTGTTTACGGTGCTCCGTGAGACCGGCTGCACTTATTTGGGTTGCTTGGGGCGGAGGACTTCACCCTAAAGCGACGAGGGGCATCCCAAGGAGCATCTTGAGACTGGAACAGACCATCTGTTTACAGCCACCTGGAGCTGGGAGGCCCAGAGCTGGGATTCCTCCCACTTTCAGCTTTATTATAGCCAGATCCCAGACTTGCTTCCCTTAAGTGAAACCCTTTTTCATAGCAGTGGTCTTAAATACCAACATCTGCTTACCCTTTCCTCCGTATGTTTTCCACTGAAAATTTAGGTTATGCTGACAGTTTTTTTTTTTTTTTTTTTTTTTTTTTTTTG